GACTGGTGACAGAGAGATGAAAAGAAAAAAAAAACACAGGACTAGACATGTAACTGTCTTTGAACAAATGGCCAAAAGAGATTTAGTACTCTGAAACGGAGGTATTTTTGAAATGAGGAAGGAACTGCACAGCACAGTTAAGAGCAACTGTTGACCCCACCCCACCCAGGTGGTGCCATGCCTACGGATGTTGGCGAGTGTTTGAATCTGAGCCCCAAATCCAATTCTGAGCCTTTGGCACCATGTCCCCAGTTTGAGTTCCAGTCCTGAACCCCAAGTCCCAAGTGAGTCTCTATTTCCCCCCAGATGAAAAAGGAGAGGTGGGTAGGTTTTGAGTTCTGTGTTGAATCATTGGAAAAAAATCAGAGCAAGTCTGAGTTGCCAATGCAACTTAAGTCTGACTTGACAGCGAGTCCTCAGGGTCCTCGTCCCTGGCAATGCTACAGTGGCTAAATCTAATGGAACTAACAGAGGAGTTGACTTGCTGTATTCCAACTCATTCAATGGGCCTACTCTGATTGTGAATTACTACTGATTTCAGCCAATGGATTCTTCTTATTCCATTCATCGTCAAAATGTTCTGTATCATCCCAAAGTGCAAGACACACAACAATGGGCTCAAGTTACATGAAGTCAGATTTTGGTTGAATATCAGGAAAAAACATAACTGTTAGAGCAGTACAGCAATGGAACCAATTACCTTGGGAGATGCAGAGTACTCTAACACTGGAGGCATTCAAGAGAAACTTAGATAATCACCTGGCAAATATCCTTTGTATTCCTGCCCTGAGCAGGGGGTTGCACTTGATGGCCTTATAGACCCCTTCCAAATTCACTATTCTATGATTTTCTGGGATTAGTCTTGACAAGGAGAAAATCAATATCAGTATACTGAGTACCTTTTTGGTACAGTGATGCAAACATCAATTACTGCCGTCTAGAATTCTTCCTGCCATATTAAGATTTGCAACACCTCTGAAATTGATGGCTCTTAAGGCCCAACGAGGCATAGCAGCTTGCTCCCCCCCCCCAATTTGCTGTGGGTTTATTATTATTTTTTAAATGAAGGACTGGAAGTGGATAGATAATTAATTTGTATTTCTTGGTTTCATTTGTAGGCTGGTTTTCCCCTTTGCTTGGACTCCAGATGGAGTGAATCAGCATGTCTCTTAAAGGGCACAGGGTGGGTTAGTCCCAATCAGAATGTCCAATATTCTGGGTAATAAAAACTGGGAAAAGGCCATGTGGTCCCCAAAACAAGACAAAAGGTGATGCCTTTTAGGTAGGGAGCAATTTGGGGGTTTTCCACAGATATCTAGACTAGGTCATGATCCTTGACAATTACCTGTTCTGGTTCTTACATCATGAGACAACATGGTATAAAACATTTTAATTATTACATTTATACCCTGTGTTTCTACTAAAAGGTAGTACTCAAGGCAGCTTCCAAACTTATTAAAATAATAAAAACAAATAGTAATACATGTTTTTAGCCAAATGAGCTGCTGGTACCAATTGATAGGGCCGGTTATCCTTGTGATAGAGCAAAGTAATTAACCATAGTTTGGTGTCAAGATTTTTGCCAGGACAGAGAGAGGTCTACACAAACCATTGAGCCACACTACCCTGACTTTTCTGGTCTGGGTGATTTCCAGGAGGTTCAAGTGTGCTGCTGGTTGGGGAAAATCTTCCTGTCTTGTTCTCTCTCAACACTGTGAGCCCCCCCTCACTCTTCAGTGCTCCAGGGAGTTACCAAATACCTCAAGGTTGCTTGTTTGAATTTCCACACCAACCTTGCAAGAAAGGAATGCCAAAATATCTAGGCTCCTGAGGTAAGGCACCTTCTTTAGTACCACCTGTCTTAGAATAACCAAGTAGATGGAAAACATTGTTTTATGAACAGTGTTACAAAAGAAAATAAAAGTTCAAAAACACAATCATAGCTTTGAGAAAAATCAAAAACATGTGAAGCAAATCCATATCCAAATTTTGAGATGCTAGGCAGTTCTGTAATAGTCCCTACTAGCTAAGATAGCTACATGAATACTTACAATGCTTCTCCTGAGACTCACTTGAACTACGCCGTTGTGTGTGTTTAGTCGTTTAGTTGTGTCCGACTCTTCGTGACCCCATGGACCAGAGCACGCCAGGCCCTCCTATCTTCCACTGCCTCCTGGAGTTGTGTCAAATTCATGTTGGTTGCTTCACAGACACTGTCCAGCCATCTCATCCTCGGTCGTCCCCTTCTCCTCTTGCCGTCACACCTTCCTAACATCAAGTTTTTTTTCCAAGGACTCTTTTCTTCTCATGAGATGGCCAAAGTACTGGAGCCTCAGCTTCAGGATCTGTCCTTCCAGTGAACACTCAGGGTTGATTTCCTTTAGAACTGACAGGTTTGTTCTCCTTGCAGTCCAGGGGACTCTCAAGTGTCTCCTCCAGCACCACAATTCAAAGGCATCAATTCTTCGGCGGTCAGCCTTCTTTATGGTCCAGCTCTCACTTCCATACATCACGACAGGAAAAACCATAGCTTTGACTATTCGGACTTTTGTTGGCAAGGTGATGTCTCTGCTTTTCAAGATGCTGTCAAGATTTGTCATCGCTTTCCTCCCAAGAAGCAGGCGTCTTTTAATTTCGGGGCTGCTGTCTCCATCTGCAGTGATCATGGAGCCCAGGAAAATAAAATCTGTCACTGCCTCCATGTCTTCCCCTTCTATTTCCCATTACCTGAGCTATTTTATGCCCATCATCCAACTTTCTCAATCTTTCAATGCAATCCCACCAATCAGAACCCAAGTTACCCTAAATCTTCAGCTCACTCTTTTCCTCTGCCTTCCACTCCTCTCCAGAACAGGGCAAGAGGCCTAAGGTTCAGAAGGCAACTGGAATGGATTAACCCCTCTTTTGCCAGTCCCTTCACAATTGCTCTTGCGTGGTAGTGGTGGGAAGAAGCTGAAAAATTCTGCAGTCCCAACATGCTGGAACCCAGATGAACCTCAATAGGGAACAAGTGATAGTGGGGGATGAATGGT